AGGGAAGATGTGAAACGAGTTTTGGTCATTCATTTGCAAAACATTTATTAAGCACTGAGTGTCAAGACCCTGGAGATATCAGTAATGCTCACTATTCTTAAGGAGTAAGGTAAGACAGATGTCTCAGTTACTTTTCTTTCAATTCTGGGACAAAATACCCAATATCCAAAATTAAGGAAGGAAAGGTTTATTTATCTCACAGTTAGTGGAGGTTTCAGTCCATACTTGGCTGGCTCCAAGGCAGAGGAGCACATGGCAGAGGGCAGTTGTTCATGGTGGTGGTAAAAAGCAAAGAGCAAAGGGAGGAGCAGCAGCTGTGGCAGCTAGCAGGCTTCTCTCCCTTCCTTATAGTGTATGCAGATTACCCACCAGGGAGGTGTAGCATCATACCCATAATCCCTGCATTGGGTCATGAATTAATCACAAACTTCAGAAGTTCCCCCCCCCCCCAGTGACTGCATGAGGCTTTGAGGGAACTAGACACAAACCATAACAACAGACAAGTCTTAAAAGTATTAAACAAGCTGCCTCTGATATTAAAGTCTAGTGTTGCACTACTCAAATTAGGAGCCACCAGACAGTGGCAGGTATAGAACCTTTCTCTCAGTGCAAAAAGAGTTTCTCTCCCAAATAATGCTCATAAGCAAACGTGCCTGGGATTCACAGTGTCTAGGTTTTTGAGCTTTAGCTGAGAAGCTGCTCATAATATGGGTAAAAGATGAATGTCTGGCATCACTAACTAAAACTAAAACCAAAGTTGGGAGTTTTATTAGAAGCCAGAATCTCAACTTAAGAAAATGTGAGCCTAGAAAATTTCCTGGCCGAGCTGGCTGAGGGAGAATAATGAATCACTTGTTTGTTTCAGCGGGCTGAGTTTCCGAGGAGCTCTGTGGTTGTCTGGGTCTACGTGACCACAGGCTGCTCTGTGTGCTTTAGACAGGGAGAGCCCTTCACAGCTTCCCCGACATTTTCACGAAACCAGACCACTTCTTCCACAATTTGTTCACAGTCTCTCTCTCTGGAGGTCACCTGGCTTTCTCTCCCAGTAGGTCATATGCACGTAATGATCACTTACGGGGTGCTCTCATAACAAAGGTAGAATGTAGTAAGTGTTGTCAAAAGCCAGGTATTGGGAAATTCAGGAAGAAGAGAGATCACATTTAATTTAGGAGACTAGGGGAGGCTTGATGAAGGAGATACCATTTGACTCAGATTTAAAACATGTTTTGGAACACAGCGGCATGGAATATGATCTTTCAGGGATTTGTACAAATTCATGAAATATGAAATTCTTCCACCACACAGCCTATGGCTGCTCTCCTTCTCCCTTCAGCCTGCATCTCCCTGGAGACTCTGGACTCTGCCTCCTTCTCTTCTCATGGTCCTTCATGGACTTTCAGGTGAGACTCCATGATTGAAGTGTTTAATAAATTTTGCCTCTGACTTTGGATTTATCTGTCTTGCTAATCTCCAACCGTGCTTTGATGAAATCAAGGTTATTTACTCTGCACAAAGTTTCCCAACTGCTCCTCAGTGTGATGCATTGCGCAGTGTCTTCCCCAGCCCACCATGCCCCTGCCCTCCTGCTTGGAGGAATTCCTTCCCAGGAGCAACTCTTCAGCCTATCTCTCATCTCCTCTTCCAGGATCTAGTCCCTTCTCTGACCGTTTTTTGATAACTCTAGTTTTCATTTCCTATAAATGGCTCTCTTCTTAGGGCCAGAGCCAGGGTTTGTAGGGGCTACCCACTTATTCACTCTAAGGAGTGGTAGTCAAGAAAAAAATACAGGGCTGAGGGAGTAGCTAAGTGGCAGAGCACTTGCCTGACATGCATTTGATTCCCAGAACTGCAAAAAAAAAAAAAAAAAAAACCAAAGAAAAAATAAAATTATAAACACCAAATTAGGAACAGAAGTTAGTATTTACTTAGAAGGGGTCTGCGTAAGTGGAAGGGGCCCTAAAGCTTACTTCACAGTACATCCATCTCTGTCCATGCTAAAAGAGGGCCTAAAAGAGGACCGAATCCAAATGCTTGCCCTTGCTTTGCCTCTGTTCCATCTCTCTCATCACTCTGGAACTTCCAAAGGGTGCAGTCTGTGCACACTGGCCGTATTCCACATCACTTGGACTCCTGCTCACCATTTGACTGCAATGGTTTTCCCTAAAACAACATCCACTTCCAAATTCCTAAAGCCCCTAGTCTTTTCTTTCTTTCTTTCTTTTTCTTTTCTTTCTTTTTTCTTTTTTGGCAGAACTGGGGATTGAACTCAGGCCCTTGAGCTTGCCAGGGAAGTGCTTATTCCACTGAGCCATCTCCCTGGTGTCAGCCCCTGGCCTTTTCTTGGTCCTGAACTTTTTAAGAATTGGACACACAGGTCATCCTCTGACTTTTCCAGATGGCTCCCTTCCCACTGGTGGAGCTTGTTCAGGTTTCCTTCAATGGCCTGGGTTGTCTTTCTTCTTCTACCTTCTTTCCTCTTCCTCCTCCCCTTCCCCTCTCCCCTCTCCCCTCTCCTTTCTTCTCCCTCCTCCCCATCCTCCTCTTCTTCCTCCTTCTTTGGATTTAGTGCAGGAGATACAGGGTCTACAGGGTCTCACTACATAGATCAGATTCAGTGATCCTCCTGTTTTCAGCTTCCCAAGTGCTGGGATTACAGGCATATGCCACCACACCCATTCTCCTACAGCACACCTCGGGGGTGGGGGTGGGGCTGGCACAGCATGCCAGGGATCAAACCCCAGCAGGTACACTCTGCCTGAGCAGGCACTTTAATCTGCTGAGCTATCAGGTTGGCCCTGTCTTTCTTCTTGGATTGAATGAAGACATCCAGGGAGTGGCTTTTACCACCATTCCGTGTGGCTGACCCATAATTATAAGTTGCTTGCTTTGTTTCCCTTATAAACTCTAGGCCCAAGACCCAAGTTGTCTGTCTGATGTCCATTAACACATCAAATCCAACATATTTTCCTATGTTGATGGCAGCGCTCCTTGTGGGAACTTCTGTTTCCTTTCTCTTTCCCTTGTTTCTATGATCTCCAGAATCCATGTGGTATTTCTTATTCCTAGGGCCATTTCCCCTACTTCAGTTTTTCTCATTGCCATTTGAATGATGTAAAGTGTCTTTTGGAGCTGGAGAACCTTACAGCTAGGTATAAACTGTCCTATGAATTAATGGCAGGCTAGACCTAGAACCTGGGCTTCTTGCCTCTTCTTGGTGACTATATTACTCTTTTAAACTCACTGTAACTCTTTTTGGACATTTTTGCCACATTCATTTCTCTCTCACCAAGAGAAACTCTAGTCACTGACCTGAGATGTCAGGGCTTTAAAAATCTGGGCACAAATGGAACCTCAGCTTTATCTTTCTCATGTTCCCTCCCTGTACCTTACAATCAGCTGCGTTTTCTGATGGTCTCAGAATGTTACCATGCTTCTATGAAATTATTTCTTTTGCCTGATGTGTAGTGATCTGGCTATTTTATCACATCAAACCTGATGTGATTTTTTTTTTTTTTTGAGACAGGGTTTCACTATGTAATTCAGGCTGGCCTTGAACTCCCTATATAGTACCAGCTGGCTTTGAATTCAAATTGACCCTTTGCCTCTTCTTTTCCCAGTTCTAGTGTAAAGTATTGAAGTCATGAATATCCATAAGTATAAAATTTATTATATACAGAGGTGTATTTCTAGGGAGGTGGATCATAGCTTTTTCCCCCTTTATTCTCAAAGGGGTCTGTTCCCCCTAAAGCCTAAGCAGCACTATGTTGTGTCATTTCAGAATTGAAAATAAAAGCTTTTTCTAAAAATGGTAGCTGGTATTATAGCATGTGACACCACATTTGCCTGGGAAAATAAAAGTTTTAAAATGTTTTTCATTCATTGGACTTAATATCTCCCAAAGTTGCTTTGTACTATCTAAAGGACCCAGTGGGCCAAGGACCTCTTCCTGTAAAACATGAAGCAGGGGGCATCCTGGCACTGGAGGGCTAGGTACTCCATGTCAAGGCCAGTGTAAGAGAAAAATGCAGGATTCCTTGAAGAACATTTAAAAAATTTCAAGATGGTGACAAAGCGCATCACACTAAGCACCAGGTTCTTCTAACAGACAAGCCCCTGTGTACCGACATAGGTTGCACATCCTTGACGCCTGTCCTGCCTCGGGTAGCCATTACTACACATGACTGCCTGCTCCATTATGCTGTAGTCTTTTGGATGACCATGGGGTACTTCATCCATTTTTGGAGAACCTGGAATGTGTCAGCGTGGCAATAGTTACAAGCATTCACTCAGTAACTCTATGTCTACCACATAATAGGTCCTTTTCTAGGTCCTGGGGGCGCAGCTCACAATGACATCTGTGTTGGGCGGGGATAAGGAAGAGCTAAACAGGGAAGGGTCAGACAGACAGGTGCTGTGCGATCAATTGGCCTAAAGTGATGTGACTAAGGAGGACTTTGAATCGGGTGTCCAAGGAAGACCTCTTTGAAATACTTAAGACCCTAATGGAAACAGGGGCCAGATCTTCCTCCACGGGGAATGAAGCCTTACCATAAGCCTGAGAATCAGAGCCAGAGCTCACTGCAGGATACGGGGCGCGGTAAAGGCCAGAGTGCGCGCAGGTGGGGGTCAGCCAAAGGAGAGCTCGTGGAGACCGGTGAGCCCTTCCGAGGGGCCAGGTCCGCCAGGCAGTCCATGTGCTGCTTTAGCGCACAGCGCGTGCTGAGGTCCCCATGAGACCCTGGCGGGCTCGGATCGCAGCAAGGGCGGCTCTGACTCGGGTAGCCTACGTCCGGGAAGCCCAGCCAGGGCCGACGTAGCCGAGGCGGGGCGCGGGGTCCCAGGCGCGCCTGACCCCGGCTCGGGTACGCGGGCGCGCGCCCCGGGGGCGGGGGAG